ATAATAATAATAATAATAATAATAATAATAATAATAATAATAATAATAATAAAGTCAGTACAGTTATACAGGTCTACGGTAGGACACCAAATCTACCAAAATGTGGCCTATTGTTGAAAAAAAAAGTTTTCCATTAACGATTATCTGTCTGTTTTTAATCATTCTAAACATATTTTGTATTTATATTATTATTCAATGAAAAGAGAAATGTAGTTATTATTATTATTATTATTATTATTATTATTATTATTATTATTATTATTATTAATAATAATAATAAATTAAAAGTGAAATAAAATGACACTTATACTGTGTGCCTTGATTTTAATGTCGAAGTTAACATCATCAAATAACGTAAATATCCACATTTTACATCCTTTATTTTGATCGCGCAGACTGGTTTGGTGGGACAACGTGGTGATAAATATCACTGTTGATCACTTGATTGATTAGGCTACGTTGCTTAAAGGTCATGCGGGCCCTGGTAATTTCCTTGCGCCGGAGGCTCCCTTTTCGCTTTTAGTCTCCACAGCCCCTTGTTCAGATCGTGTTATTTTTTAACCCCTCCACAGCTGAACCCGCCGTTGCATTACAGTAAACCTCCCAAACGCTTTCTGTTTCAGGCAAGTTTTCTTCGTTTTACACAATTTGAAATTTAACTTTTTTACATGCGGACTTAACGTTAAGTGCAGATGTGAGGCTGCCTTAGTGCTTGGAATTGGTGTCTGGAGCCCAATTAATGTCTAATAATTACAGCCCACGGGGCTCTCTTTGCACTACTATCGGGATCAGCGTGTCGTGATAAAATATGTAGTGGGGAAAATGCTCCGAAAGGGGAGAAGAAGACTGAAGAAGAGAAGAGTGAGTTATTGCGGTGAATGAAAACTGTTTCCATTTAGGATAATTGAGCGCCCTGCCTGAAGCTCTCTCTCTCTCTCTCCCTCTCAGTCGGTGTGCGGTGTGTTTTGTGCACGCCCGACGCGCCACCTTCACGGTGTATAGGCGCAACCCACTTAATAGCACCATTTATGTCATTATATAGTAAAGGCAGGGTGAGGTACAACCACAATAAAGTATCAGCATTAACCTCTCAACTCTGCCCTTTAAGTGAACACGGAGCTACATAAATAAAATCAAATAAAAATATAGAATATGTTAATAGAGGCGTGCACAGTATGTCTGTTGGCGTTGCCAGTTGAGTATAACCGGTGTGTATTTTTACAGTGAGATTCGGTGTGTTTTTTTTGTTTTTGTTTTTTTTTCCCCATCAAAAGGGTCCGAAATCAAATCCTTCAGAAGATAAATGTGATCTGCAGAAGCTGAAAGTGTGTACAGAGGTTTTCATCCGCAGTATAATCGGCGTGGACGTATGAACACACTACAATGTCTAAATTTGACCAGTCTGTTATTTCATTCATTCATTCATCCATTCACTCTTTTCTTTTTCGCCAGAAGATGTGATGTCACAAGTTCAGCCAGTTTCTGCGCACTTTGGAATTGATAGCTCAAATTAAAACAGCCATTAATGTGCTCATCTGCAAGAGGAGCCATATCTCCTGTGGGTCTAATTAATTGCCAATTACTTTAATTATAATAGGCTCCCACTGCACAGGGATAAACAAGATAAGATATCAGCTCTTGATGTGTGGGTCCGATTTTACTCATTTTATTTGTTGTTACCAAATAAAATGAATTATACCGAGGATCTGCTTTCCTGTGTGTGGTTGGTTTCTGCTGATGACTCTGTTTCAAAATGTTACTCTGTAATGCAATATATGAGATGAAGTGAGTATATTAAGTTGCTTTTTGCCTGGACGGCAATCATAAAAAAAATGTGGCCCTTAAAATCCACAGGAGAAAAAGGGGACGTCTGTTCCACCTGCAGAGGTGGGGGGTGTGGAGAAAAGGCTTTTCTTTCTTGACAGAAACCCTCTCCTTCGCAGTTAAATCAAGTAAAAACATCCTTTTGGAACATTCAGCAATTACCACGAGATGAAATTCAACAGAAACTACTCAAAAGAGCATTAATACTAAGCTCTTAACGTATTAGTAATTGTCAGCGGAGTGACACAAAGAATTATAAAAAAAGGAGGAAGAAGAAGGAGGAAAAGAAAACGTGGTCACTCTCATATTAAAGCTGTCAGTCGGGTGCCCAAGCGGGTGAGGGAGGGGGAACTTTTTAATTCATTTTCCAGTGCTCGGGATAATGTTCAAAAACACAATTAAAATATATAAAATCTTTAATAACCACACTCAGCATCGGCAATTCAAGTGAGCATTGATTAATGTGAGGTCATTTAAAGAGAAAAGGTGCGCTGTAAGGATTGAGAGTAAGGATCGTTATAATTAATGCCCTCGGCACTCCATAGATCCGGGGTGCTGACTGCACTGCAAAAAATAGCTATCCATCTTTTTTTAAAGAAAAAAAAGCGTGCAGGGCTCAATCTGAAAAACCTTTTTTAATGTCTTTAAAAAGTACATAAAATCTATTGCATGAGGCAGAGTAACTAAAGTGAACTTGTTGGGAAAGTTTTCAGTCTAATTTTGTAGTGAATCGCCGCTTTATTTTTTAATCCACCAATTTAGGTCTTTGTAAGGAGGGGTTTTGTTTTGTTTTGGGGTTGTTGTTTTTTTAATCAAAATACATAGGAGCGTAAGTCTTCCATCTAATGAATAGACTTCAATTTAAAAGTTTTGTAAAGTTTTGGGGTTTTAAAAAAAGAAGAAAGAAATAACACACGGCTAAATGTGAAACTTCAACTCTTGACATTTTTTGCAGTGTGCCCCGCTTTCTCACTCTGTGGTCGTTTGAAAAACTGACACGAAATGAGATGTCCGCGATTCACTCATCTTGACCAGATCAGGTTAATATCAAAGTGATAAATCGTCCCAAACTTTTTCTGGCACTTGCTGCCGGCAGATTTCTGGCTGTGCGCATGTGCGAAGGTGTCCAGACTGACAATGCTGGAGAGATAGCGCGTTTGGATTGAGAAACCCAGAGAAAAAGGACAGAGAAAAAACAAAAAGGAGGAAAAAAAGATTGACGAAAAAATCCAAACAAACCCACGCCGAGAGACTGGCACCATGAGGTCCAAAGGCAGGGCACGGAAACTGGCCACGAGTAGGTGCAACATCCCTTTCTTTTTTCTCTTGAAACATGCCATCTTATATACCTATAGACTGTCGCTGTTATCACTGCTTCTATTAGTAGTTTCTGTTACGATTTCGTTTCCACGAGGAGACCCGAACCCTCACTTTCACCCGCTTAAAAAGAAGAAAAAAGAGCAAACCGTGATGTTGTCGCGAAGAAAATAATTAAAGTCGAGCAGAAGTAGAGCGTAAACTTTACAGTTGAGGGTGCGATGGAGGAACTTTGTGCAAGGCGTCCGCTCCAGTATTGGAATTGCTCGTTGCATGTAGTGGGCGCTGTAGTGTAACGTGGTGTATTGCGAGTTAAAAAATCCCATGTCCAGTGCATCGGCAGTTGTGTTGCACTCGCTGCACGCTGCTGCTGCGGGCTGCGGGTCACTTCACTTTCCCGGGAGAAACTTGGAAAAACAAGTAAAGCGAAAGTGGAGCGAAACGAGGAGAAAACGGCGATTTAGAGACGCTAAAATGATTCGGGGAGTTTCCTTTCTTTCTTTCTTTCTTTCTTACTTTTTTTAAAAGTCTTGTTAGTGTGTTTGAGTCTCGCAGTTCATTCCGGAGGTCTTATTAATATATAATTTGTAGCATTTGCTAAATTCTGTGTCACCTGTGAATAAAAGACATTGAAACGTGTATATTTTATATTACTTTTAACGCTACAGTGTTACACTTTACGGACTTTAAAGTTTAGATTCATCACTACAGGATGCAGGCTTCTTACTAATGCAAAATCCATTCAAGATAAAATGATAACTTGAAATATCCACTGATGTTTGATTAAATTAAATGCTACCGTCTTCGTTTATTTGCTTGCTTGAACCTAATTAACTTCATGGAATGAGATGATCATGCTACAATAATTTTCAAAATGTATCTATTTAAATCAAATGCGGTTCTGTGCTGCGTTCGCTCTCTTTTTAGTTGTGACGCTGTTTTTTGTTTTGTTTTATGTCTAAATGTAAGATGCGTTTGTGCCTTCACCTTGAATTGTAATGCAAACTCTGGCAAGTCACATCCAAGAAGGCTACAGTGCAATGACCGAGGCCTGCATGATTTCAGGTGTTTACAGAAATGTTCATATTGAGGAGGTTTACTGCGTTTAAAGATCTGCGCCTATGTCGTTGGAGTTCAGCTACTTGCACGGAATAAAACGGTGTAATTGTAATTTGTGAAACGCCCCGGGCAGCTGGTCATTAACGAGCAGGCTCCACAGAAGTTTTTTTTTTTTTAAGACTGCACGTGGTCAGGTGAAACCGAGTTCTAATGTAATTATTTGTCCGCACAGAAATGCAGCATAATGCTGACAGTCTGATGAAGCTTAATTGACGTATTCTAAATATATAAACTGCTTCACTGACCTTCTGGAGCTTCAGAAAATCCTGTGACTCCTGTGAAGATGGTGCACAGGTTATGTAAACACACAGAACGTCATCGTGCACAGTACAAAAACAGACCTGTGAGTTTTTTTTATTGTTATTATTTATGATTTTGTTTAGAAATGCAGAAAACGAGCAGCTGCGCGGAACAACTGCACCAACTTTCTTTGCACACAATTAAAGCTACAATGAAGTTAGAAGGTCAAATTCTTCGTGTGATTATTATTTTCGAGGTAATTTCTAACTGTTAAGTAAGAATGGGGAAATGTTTTGGCCCCCGGAGCAGCGGGCCCGCTCTGGCCAACAGCCAGGTCTGCACAGTGTCAACAGTGAATATTTAAATTCCCAGACCCCTCATAAGGGCTCTGCTGGTAAATGCGTTCAGTGTGTGCCTCCCTCCTTGCAAAACAGTCATGCATTTCTTTTTTTTTATTTAAGTGCCTGTAATACAGGAGGTGATGGAGAGGTGGTAAACGTGAGAGTGATTGATGGAGGCTGACTGATTAGTCCGCACGTCCAGATGTAATGCGGTGCGCCACAAAAAAACTCCCCAACCACGCTAAGCCAAGGCGTGCAGGCCGCACCCCGCGGTGAAATGTTAGCCACAGAAAGATGGACGGGGCTTTGGTGATCCAAACTAGCTCGGTGTAGGCCTAATTAAAGGTTCACTTAGCATTTTTGAGTCTCGATAAATACCGTTTCGTTATAATGCGTTCGGAGTGCATTACAGTAGCGATTAATCTACCAAGACCAGCCCAGAGTAACCATAGCACGCATCTGAATTCAAGCAAACTAGACAATTAAGTGAATAAAAATATTTGGAAGTTTAACAAGTGCCAGCAGAGCAATCAAATACAACGTGTCTCCCAAGGCAGGCACTATTTGGTAAGCCTAATCATTTTCACTTTTACCACAATATTCCGTCAGTCATCACTCAGTCTCCAGAAATGTGGAGCCATAACACATTTTAGATGGGTTATCGCCCTTTGTGTGTGTGTGTGTGTGAATGTGGGAGGGAGGGGTCTCGCTGGGCCTCGCTGTCCGTCAGCGCCTCTCTTCTCGGTCTTGGGAGAAGTGCGTCGTCCTCCCCACATTGTGCAGTGGGCCATGCATCTCGCGTTTGTCTGGCGGAGCTCATTAAAACGGTTAATAGATTGGCCCATTTAAAAGGTGAGAGGGAGCGGGCTGGCGCGAGGAAAGTGAAATAGAGACCCCATTAAACGGCCCTTGTTGTCCCGGAGCGGCGCTCTTTGCCTGCTCTCCGCTTGGTGCCAAAGCTCTGTATACAAATGTCCCATATCGCCTTCAGTAATGGCCTGGGTCAAGAATCATTGGGGCCCTAGGCAGAAGTTACCCCCTTCTGTTGTCCTCCTTAGTTAACTGTTGCTTTGAACTTTTATTTCTGATGTAATAAATAACAGTAGAGCCAAATCCTCATATGGAAATCAGGGCCTACTATCACTTCAAACAAAGACATATATATATA